ACCTGAGTGAGCGGTTCCTATAAATTGAGGGAGTAGAATCAGTAGGGGAAAAAAAACAAACCTACACTTAGCTAAAGATTACACAAGGCTGACTGGACAATTAGAACACTGAGACCATGTAGAGAGATGGAAAGTCACAAATCCAGAGTTAACCGATTGTGGGCTCTCTTGAATCCTAATGACCATTCATTGCCCACATCTGGCCTTCACAATGGCCAGCATTCCTCTAGGACTCGTGAAGCCAATTCCCTTCTACCAAAGAAACCGTTTTCTTATCTCTCAGAAGGGACAAATGGCTATCTGTGGTTCCTGGTAGTATACCAAAGCTCATGCTGGCCTCTAGGCTCTCTCAGTATCACAAGCACCTGTGAAACATTTTAGAGTCCATGCTGGCATCCTGGCTCTGTCACACTGTCCCTTACCCCTAACTTCTCCAGCTATGGGCTTCCCTCCCCACAGCTTCCCATCGTCCTTATAATCCTCTCTTGTCTTCCTCTCCTGCTCTCCTGCTTTCTCTCCTCTCACGGCCAAGTCCAGCCTGCTGGACATGTTCAGTCTACTGCTTTCTCTCTCTGCTCTAGACTCTTCCAGATGCCTCTGGCTGTATTCTCCCTCACACCTACAATAAAAACTTTCTGCTGGGCAGTGGTGGCATACGTCTTTAATCCCAGCACCTGGGAAGCACAGGCAGGCAGATCTCTGTGAGTTCAAAGCCAGCCTGGTTTACAAAGCGAGTTCCAGGTGTAAGGAGTAATGGAAATTGACTTCTGGTTGAAAATCTTAAGCATGGAAATGAAACCAAAAGTCTTCATTATTGTAACAAAATTGAAACTGAAAATAACTGTCTATGGCTGTGAGATGCTGGTGCCTCAAAAGACTATTCCTCTAAAATTCTAGACACCAAAAAAATAAAATTGACTATCAGACACTAAGTACATCTATTTCTAATTTTAAAAATTATTTTGTGAGTGCTTGTATATATAAGGGCACTCATGTGCAAGGCAGAGGAAAACTTGCAAGAGTCGGTTCTCTCCTTCCAACTATGTGTGTCCCAGGAATAGCGCCCAGACCATCAAGCTTGGCAACAGGTGCCTTCAGCCACTGAGCCATCTCCACGGCCTCATTAAATAATTCTAAATAAGCTTTGGCAAGTCAACGCACTGACCCAAACAACTTACTAAGAAAAAAAACCCACGAACTCATAGTAGTAGTTTTATTGCATATGAACCATGTTTTACAAAGGAAACGTCGGGAGTGCCAAGGGGCACTTTACTAGAAAGCATTTAACCAAAGGAAATAAAGCTGCCACTGTCGCCCGCCCGCTGTGTCCCCTCCAGACCAACACTGCAGGCTCCGCCCACTGTCAATTCAGCCGACGCCGAGCCGAGGCTCCGCCCCACGACCTGGTGCGGTCGCCTCCTAGCGGCCAGAGCAAGGACTTCGCAGCCCGCGGCCCGCTGCTGACCCTAGGGCCGCTGGGGTCATGGGCTCCTCCGAGGTGGCACCGCCAGCGTTCGCGCGCGTCGCCCCCGCGCTCTTCATCGGGAATGCGCGAGCCGCGAGGGCGACGGAGCTGCTGGGGCGCGCGGGCATCACCCTGTGCGTCAACGTCTCCCGCCAGCAGCCCGGACCGCGCGCTCCGGGAGTGGCCGAGCTGCGCGTACCCGTGTTCGACGACCCGGCCGAAGACCTGCTGACGCACCTGGAGCCCACCTGCGCCGCCATGGAGGCCGCGGTGCGCGACGGCGGCTCCTGCCTCGTCTACTGCAAGAACGGCCGCAGCCGCTCAGCCGCCGTCTGCACCGCCTATCTCATGCGGCACCGCGGCCAGAGCCTGGAGCGCGCATTCCAGGTCCGAGCTTCCGAGGGCGGGTCTTCCGGGGCGCCCCCCCCCCCCACCTCGAGAGAGGCTCTTCCGGGGCGGGCCCCACCCTTCACCCTGGGGCGGAGCCTCCGCGCTCTGGATTGTCTTGTCGGCGGGTCCCTCTCATTGTAGCTCTCTTGGTTACAGATGGTGAAGAGCGCTCGCCCGGTAGCCGAGCCCAATCTGGGTTTCTGGGCTCAGCTGCAGAAGTACGAACAGACCCTCCAAGCCCAGGCCCTCCTGCCCCGGGACCCCGGCGATCCCGAGTAAGCTGCATCGTTCAGCTGCTGGGTGGCCAAGTGTGTACACTGAAAGAAGGTGTTCCTTCCCTCCTCTTTACAAAAGGCAACTGGCCTCGGGTGTTGCCCCCTCTTGATGGCAGTACGGGAGTGTCTGCTGAGGAGGGGCACTTCGTTTATTCATCAGGCTTTGGTCAAATCCAAACCAGCGAAGTTTTAGGTAGAGAAAATGCGTAAAGGATTTGTAAGAGCCTGGGGAGCTGACAGTTGATAGGGAGTGACAGACCAGAGTCCTGGCTAGCTGCCTCCTCCAAGGGAATGGCAGGCAGAACCTTTTTGTGCCTCCTGGACTTCTTTCTGGTCCCTTCTGAGACCTGAGCTTAGTCCTGGGCCCACCATCTTTAGTCTTACAGCTGCTGTGCCGTGGGAGAGAGGCATCCGCCCACCACCCATCTTCATCTTACTTAACCTGTATCAATGCCATTATGCCCTGTGCAGCATCCTCCCCAGCCGGCAGGCAGGCCCACCGGTTGCCACCTTGTGTTGCTTGCTCTTCTAGTTCAGACACAGCCATTCTTAGGCATCCTGCTTCTTTAAGAGCCCTGGAAATTTAGTCACGATTTAAAGAATGAAGGAAGAGCAAAGAAAAACCTGGGCTATGTGTGTGAATTACAGATGTGTAGCCACTGGTTAATTTGCAAGTAAATATGAATTAGTGAATAAAATCCCAGAGTTGGTATGTATGGCTTCCCTTCTCCACCTCTCCCTGCGTATGGTCTCTGGGGCCAGGGTAGGCTGTCATCAGACTGCTTGCTCCAGCTTCTTTTTGAAGGTCATGGTCCGTCACCATCCAACAGAATGGCCCCATTTTGCCCCTGAAGAGACTAAAGGGTTTGGTCATACCTGCCTCTATGCAGTGAGACACACTTGGGTCCCCGGGTGGAGGGTTCTCCCCTAGAATGAAGAATGGCACCGTCTCACTTAACAGAACCCAAAGTTGAGGGGGCATGAGGCACACGGCTCATGGTCAAGGCATTGGGGTGCTAATAACCACCATCTCCCCCACCTGCCCCTGCACTTCTGGTTTCTGGCTGTAATGAACAAGCCCTTCAGTGGTCACTGATTCAAAATGCTCACTACACTTTGTAGGGAACACCCAGCCCTACAGGTGTGGGCAAACTGGCATTGTCCGTCCCAGGACTGCTGCACAAGCTGGCTAATCTGGCCTCTGAGCTTCCTCCACCGGGTCCCTTATGTTCATCCCTTAAAGGAGCTGGTGCTGCTGTCCTCACTCAGCCACGGAGGCTGCAGTGGCTTGCAGAGAACAGGGCTCCAGGCCCCTGTGTGTGTAGCCAATCTCTGTTCACAATGCATTCCAAGAGGCCGCTGCCCTCCGGTCAGGGCAGGGCACACCGCCTAACCTGCTGACTGGGCTAGTCAAGTCAGCTCGAGGCAACAGAGATGGAAGAGACATAAGGCCCAGGTCAGGTTGAAGGATATCTGTGGAGTGTATCGGGTACGTTCTCTTCCACCCGCTCAGTTCTGGGAGCTATGCGACTGTAGCTTCGGCCTGGCCCAGCTCTCAAACCTCTGCCCCGAGACTACAGAACACCCCCCCCCGCCCCCCCACATCCCCCCACACACACACACACTTTTCCTCTGGGGCTGGGGGTGTAACACTGACTGTAACCACAAGGGGGCACTCCAGTAGCTTATCCGTGTTGGGGGACAGGTTCTTTGGCTCCACCGTGCAAAATGTCCTGTTGGTCTTGAAAGAACTGTGTGTTAGGTCCTTTTGTAAATATGGGGTGGAGGCACACCCACCCCACTTATAGAAGTGGACTAGCTGGATCAAGGCTGCCCCACATCACCCCTTCTGTTTGCAAAAGGGAGTATCGCCAGAACAGGATGGATACAACCCCAACTTCTGGGGGTACAATTTGAGAGACTGGGATGGAAAACCCTACAATCTATATCAAGAAGGACAAAAGGAACCCAGGCCTACAGGACAGTGCAAATGAATTGGGAATGCCTTCTTAGACAATCTGGTGGACAGGCCACTGGACACCAGAAAGCAGCAATAACCTTAACTCCAGGTCTCTTCACTCATTTTATTATTTATTTTTTTATTTTATCTATTTATTTATAATTTTTTGTGTTTTTTTTTTCTTTCAAGACAGGGTTTCTTTGTGTAGCTTTGCGCCTTTCCTGGAACTCGCTTTGTAGACCAGGCTGGCCTCGAACTCACAGAGATCCGCCTGCCTCTGCCTCCCGCGTGCGCCACCACCTAGGCTCACAACCAAAAATATTTTTATTTTTAAGACAGGCTCTCAGTAACGCAAGTTGGCCTCCCACAGTCCACACACAGCCAAGGATGACTGTGAACTGATGCTTTTGTTTCCCAGCTGCTGGAATGCCAAGTGCTTTCCAAGCCGGGTCTTCCTCCTTCCCTCTAGCCCTTGCCTCTGGATGATGGCATGAGCCTTGGAGTTCTTCCAGAGTCTGAAATGGGGAGGGATCCCACGTGCTGCCAGCTAAGAGATCACATGAGACCCGAGAGGAAACCATGTTTCAGCGTTTGGGCTGCACCAGTGGCCTGTTCTCTTAGCTGTGCCTCTCACTGGCGGGAGGAAGGCAAGACCACTTGACTCACGTTTGGGGAGACTGGATGCAGACAGCCGAGCACTCCCCAGAAGTGACACGGCAACACACCATCATCAAAGCAGGAGACAGAAGTGTGTCTCTCCTGCATATTCCCCCAGCCCTAAAAGCCCCTCTCCCTCAGAATCTGTGCCTGCCTCCTGCCGATGAAAAGCAGGACACCTCTGTCCACACCCTGTGTTGGCCCTCGCACCGGACAGCTCAACCTTGGAGCAGCCTTGCTGCGCTAGCCTAAAATGCGCCTGCAGCCCTTACATTGGAGCCGTGAGATGGAACTGTGTTCAACAGCGTATCTCCACTTGGCACACACCCGGACAACAAAAAAAGCCGACCCTAACACACGGCCAGGGCACCTGACAGCTTCTCATTATGCCTAATTTGAATCTAAATAGCCACACCTGTCTGGGCTAAGTACCTGACAGCCTTGCGTCTCCCCGAGCCGCTTGGCACCCACATGGCCACTGCCCAGGCCAACGGGGGGACTCGCGGGGGAATCGCGTCAGGGGAACCACAAGAATCATTCTCAGAGTAAGAGAACCGACGGCCGAGGTGCCGCCGGCGTCCCTGGGAAAGCGACGGTCCCGCCTCCCAGGCCGTCCTCCGAGCCGTAACGAGTGCAGGGCGCAGGCTGAGGACGCGCAGCCTCCCCGGGTGTCCGGCCTCGCGCTCCGCGCCGCTCCGGCGCACAGGCCCG